TCGTTCGGTGGACAAGTTAAATGTACAAGTTGTAATATGCCGAGCCCGCGCAGGCACACGCTCGGCTAGAAATGTGTGCGACGAGCGTTCTGTGTCGTGCTGTTAGTAAGCGACAGAAGGTGGATGGAAAGCATCATTCAGATGGTACCACCTAAGTGCACGAAGGAGCCACGAGAATCCCGGGGCCTTATGATAGTTATTAATATGAAATAGTCAGCCACCGTGGCCCCATCACGGACATAATGGGACGCAATTTTTTGCCGCGACAATGAGGCACCCCGTTAAACGCTCGATGTGTTTGCATTATTCACGCGGATGATTAAGCTCCGTTAATATATCGAATGGCAGGACGCGCGCGAGCAAGATGACATGTATAGAAAACACACACGTGAAACAAAGGGGGCGAACGAAAACTCGTGGCTATCGCAACGAGTGCATTGTAAATCACCCCGTGCGTCGGTGGACGGTGCTCTGAAGAAGAAAAAAAAAATTTTACACCAACAGTTCTATACTATTATGCTGATTCCCGATGGTCGGTCGAATTGTTACCGTGAAACGTGCATTCGGGCAATGGCCTTTCCTTAGGTACAATTTCCATGGAAACGTTACAGAGGTATCGCCTGAATGGCCCGATTTTCGCAACCGGTTTTCATACTTGACCACATTCATTTTCATTAGACCAGTATTGGGTGTTCGTTTGTTGGCCGAGATTATTAGGCCCACGGCGGCGCGTATCGGTTCCGTAAATAGCCTGTCGACGCAGGTAAACGAACCACAGAAGCAGGTAGCACTGGGGGATCGATGGCTAAGTAATCCGGTCTTTTATTGCTTCTGAGACAATGGCGGTAAAACAGTCTTCCTGGTGATCTATAGATCATATAACCTTCATCTATTTACGGCGATCATTGGTTTATATATTCTTAACGAGAAATAAATTCCGATCGAACCTTAATATTCTCGACTTGAATTTTCATCGAGCGAAATTCGACGTTCTACTCAAGTGGTCGTAAATTTAATACACGATAATCGATGAAAATTATGAAAACCTACAGGTTGTACAAGATTTTAATTATAGAGAGTAACATTCTTACCTGTAATAAGACCGTGATAAGTTATGACACACCTTTGTTCTGCAGACAAACGGAAACCGAGTTCTCCTAATTTTTACCGATTCATCCTTATTTCCCTATTGTCTCGAGGCGCACGAGGTCAGGGATGTCCCGTTGTGCGAGCCCATTTTGTCGCGGTGATTCGATGAAACCGAGCCCCGGGGAAAAACCGGCTTTCCCCACTCCGAAAAGGGTTGAAACTCCGTGAATTAGCTCGCAGGTTTTCAAGTCATTTGTTTATTGGCGTACAAAGGCACATGGCGACCGCTAGGTTTGTCTGGATTAGGACCATTAATTTTCGTTATTCGCGAGAACCCACTAATCGGCTCCCTGTTCCAGGGGGCCGGTTGTCCGCGTTTCACAGCAACTTTTACCTGGCCGACAGCGCCCAGCCGTTTCTAACTAACTCCTCGAACAGGTGTAGCACCTTCTAACCCGTCCATCGATATTCTCCGATCGCACGATTAATTTCCTTATCGACGATTAGATTTAACACGATGGAAATATATTTCATTGATATTTTTTTGGTGTTAGAATTTTGAAAAAATTCTCCTAAGACTCGATATTGATTAACGTATGATCGATGGAAGATAGACTACCAATGAAAAGATATGGAGGGCATGTATTGTAATTAATAAACGTGGAAGACAGTCTTCAATGATGATTTAAAGGAACTGGCGAAACGCAATACTCTAGCCTACATCTAGATACTTTTAAAAGACAATGGAATTTTTCCAAAGAAACCGTTGTGAGTGACATTAAATTATTTTCCACTGCTCAGGAACGCTTAACCGAGCTAAAAAATAAACAACTTAGAATATATCGATGACTACGTGATTTATTACGGTGATAAAGTATTACATGTAGCCTTACTGCCACGCAGAAAGATAATGATTTACGTGATTTCGTACTTTTTCTCGGGGTATTACGCGTGATCGAGTAAATTAACGTGCGGTCAGAGAGCGATTTTGACGGTGAAATATCGAAGTATTTAATTCATCGTGAAGTTTATCTCTCCCGACTTCTTCCGTGTTCCTGGAACTTTTCGAAATTTTCCCCTCCCAAGGTCTCGACCGGTTCTCACGCGGAAGTGCGATGAAAACACGGAAGAAGCCCAGCGCAACGTGTCGTCGATTATTAATCGACGGTGGAAGTGAGTAAACTCGGTTAATTGGATAAGTAAACTCCGAATAAATGTTCGCGTGATTACGCCCATATCCAGTTTTAGACCTGCTGTGGAAGGGGTGGGGGGTTGAACGTCAACCGGAGAAATTTCCACCTCATTTCCCCTCCTCGGTTGTAATTTATAAACGAGTGGTTCGCGTGACTCGCGAGACTTTCTGCCCTGGCTTAATATTTTTCCGCTAATCGCAACGCTCAAGCTCGCGTTGCACGAACCCGTTGACTTCTTCCACGTTCCTGGAGAACCTAGCGATCGCTTCGGAGACGTTCCGCACTCGGAAAAACCGTATGATAAATTAACATCTCGGAATATTACGACACTTCTTACAAAATATTATGATCGAAGGTATACTCGGGGGTATAAGTGGTTCAACGTAATCCCATCGAGACTGTTGTTGGAGCACTTGCCCCCCACTCCCCTCGGTAATTGCGCTTGAGAAGGGTTGCTGGCCCAATAAACGGGTAATCTTGAGATTAGAAGCACTTCTCGTGGAAGGATTTTGCGATTACGAGGTACGCACGTCTTTAGTACAACTAACGTTAATACAGTGAACCTCGAGAACGTGTAACTAAACTGATACAATACACACCCCAAATTTCCTATCTTATATGTCCACTTAGGCTCTTCTAAATCATTACTATTGCAGCTCCTGTATATTTATACAATATCTTTTTATAAATTTGACAGAAACTACGTACACATAATATTCTTGTGATTTTATATCTAGTTCTCAATTCACAATTCAAAATCACAATTTAATATCTAGTTCTCAATTCTTCTATCTCCACTAGTTTCTAAACAGAGAAAACTGAGTTTAAAGTTTACGAAGTTTAACATTGCAGAAGCAGGGAAGTAGTGAAACAATCAAACACACTATAATACCATGTACTGAGAAGCTATATAATACAACATTTAACCAAATTTTATTTTGGCGACCACTTTTTTTTTTGTATTTTTAATCCCACCAATCTAACCCACAGCGTCTCCCCCGGAACTGTGTAAACAAGACTTCGGGGGGGATCACCGGTCACCAATATATATCTCCCGGTAAAGATTTGACGCCGTTCCACCCCGACTGAGGTGGAAAGACGTCCCGCGATTCCCCTTTTAGTCGCCTCTTACGACCCTGCCTAGGGGATACCGTTGGTGTATTCTAATCCCGCCCAACAGGGATATCTTGGCGACCACTGCTAAACATAATCTAAATCGATTCTACGAATTTATAAAGTGAACACTACCAACTCTATAAGGAATACTTCTCCTAAACAGTTATTCATTTTACAAAACAAAAAACCAATCGACACCTAACTCCGAAAAATCCAGTCTCGAACAATGTGCACTAAAACCTCGATCGGTTCCGAAATCGAGAAAATTCCCGCGAAAAGCATAGAATCCAGCAAATGAAGTTCGCGAAAGGTCCGCGAAGGGCGACTTACCAAGGAAGAGTCGCCAGGCGTCGACGTCGCGACGCCCATATGTGGCCATCCTCCCGCGATAGGCGTGAACCAGGGAGGTGGAGTCGCGACATGCGCCTTGGAACATACACCGCCCATGAGAACTGGTTAGACCCGTGCGGAGAGGCAGGAAGAGCCCTGTACCCGGTGGTGTCGATGCTACCAATGAGCAGCTGGTATCCACCAGGGAACGTGCGCCAGTGGTGGAGCTTGCGGTTGGAAGAGCCACGATGCACCGCCGATTAGGCCTGGCTTGGGGCTCTCAGGTGGGGTTAGGGGGCGTGTCCAAAAAAGTGGGCACGACGGGGACGCACGAGGTCGCCCGAACGAGATGGGTGCTTCAGGTACCGGAAAAGAGAGCGAGACGGATATAGAAAAACAGCGGTGGGGCGGTGCGAGTGAGAGAGAAAGGGGGCAGTACGAACGGGAGAAAGAGCGAGAGGGGCTGGGCTCGTAAACGCCGAAATCGGCCGAGTTGCTCCCTCGGCGGGAGCCCAGTCCTTACTCTCAGTCCCGCTGTGAACGCAGCAAGGAACACCACGGATGTTTCATCCTCCATGTACGGTGCGCCGGAGACGTTGACGTTGAGTCGTGCCCGTCACCGTCGACGTCGTCGTCGTCTTCCGTGTGAACCCGCGAGAACAGGATAACCGTCAACAATCGCTTTTCGAACGGGTGCGATACGCGACGGTTGATTCGCGAATCGACGTGGCTGTGTATATATACCTACACCCGTCGGGAAAAGATAAAACGTTCCAGGAAACCGTGAGAATAATAGTTCCGGGAAGATATATAGACTGTCTGGTTCGTCGAGTGTTTCGTTAGTTCGGATTTTCGGAGTAATCCAACACACATGACATTTCGGAGCGAGGAGCGTCGATTATAGTAGATCCCAGATTCGAAGATATTCGCTCCCGTCTGGTCAAGGATATTCGCGTGACGATCACGGGGATTCAAAACACATGGGACAGTATACATAACGTATACAGTATTCCGTGGCAACGATACAAGTGAACTCGAAACGAAGTGTATTTACATAGACAGTGTACGATTCTCAGTGTTAGACAAGTGTGCCGCGACATTCATCCGGGATTATCGACCATCGAAGTTTACTAGGACATTCAGAGAACCGTGTATATACAGTAACTGCGGGGCAGAACGGAGTAGTCGCGAGATCAGTCCGTGAACCGTTCCCTCCCAGACATGATAGTCTCCTCGTTGGTCTGGTGATAGACACGGTGAACAAACCGATAGACTCGGACGCGATCTCTACGATGATGAACGCATTTCTGGACGGTGTGTCCTCGCACCCTCACCACCTAGCCAATCTCGGTATCAAGCTGTCGCCCGGCGGTGGCGGTGCCACGGGCGGATCCACGGATCCCGGGACAGGTGTCCAACCGGCTCCAGGCGAGGCACCGTCCCAGCAACATCACCATTTCCATCCCCAGGGCTATCCCCCGCATCATCCTCATCCAGCGTCACATATGGCGCCTCACATGGGCCACCATATGAGCCATCATCCGGGTTACGCGGCTCGTGATTTTCTCCTACGTAGGGAGCACGAGTTTAACGCGACAGCGAACCCAACCACCCCTGAGAGCGGTCTAGGACTGTTCACACCGTTGCATCACGACGGCACAGCCGCGACGATGCAGCAGTTTCCTCATCATCCGAGTCAACATCCACTAGCAGCGAGCCATTACCCGGGACACTATCCCCAGGACTCGAGATTACCGCCCCATCATCAGTACTTAGGCCCTCCACACCTGACCCCAGCCTCGATCCACCACCAACAGCATCCGGCTGTCACCCATCCTAGCCATCATCCCCACGGCGCTTTTCTGAGGTACATGAGAAGCAACGGGGCAGGTAGCGGCGGTACCGGCAGCGTAACCGGCGGCCAACGTCAAGAGATGTCCTGCATGTGGGTGGACCAGGACGCGCCTGGACCCGGAAGGAAGCTGTGCGGGAAACTCTTCAACTCCCTCCACGATATTGTGACGCACCTGACCGTGGAACACGTGGGCGGACCCGAGTGCACCACGCACGCGTGCTTCTGGCAGGGATGCTCGCGGAACGGCAGGGCGTTCAAGGCCAAATACAAGCTGGTCAATCACATAAGGGTGCACACCGGCGAGAAACCGTTCCCGTGTCCGTTTCCTGGTTGCGGCAAGGTGTTCGCCAGATCCGAGAATCTCAAGATCCACAAGAGGACGCATACCGGTGAGTAACAACATATCTGCTTTGTTAGCTTAGTTTCTCGGGGGATCATACAGAAAATCATCGATGAGTCTTCAAAAGCTCCTCAGCACTGACAAGGTGAGGTCCCCAGGTGTAAATACTGATTTTTGAATGAAATTCAGCACAGTGATAGAGCTTGAAATCATGAAACCAATGATATTTGTTTCAATCGCACATGGCCATTAGTTTATGAAATATTTAATGTTCAGTGATGAGGAGCCTTCGAACACTCATGAATAAATAACTGTATGTCGAGCGATCGACACGTGGACATTGATACGGAGCTGTCATTGAAACTTGCGCGAGCATAAACGTGTCCTATGAAGAATCTGCTAATTGTTACTCTTGTTTCTAATATCTGTTAACCCAAAAGCTGCTCCAAAGACATACTGCTACTAACGTGAGTTACGGTTGGCAATCGAGCCCCGTGAAAGTTAATCTCCTCATCTCCATCAACCTCCCCGGGCCCGATCTCTCTCTCTCCCCTCGCGATATCTTCTTTCAAACCCGGGCAAACACGTAGGAATGCCTCGAATTCCACCCGAACTCGCGCGTCCGGCCACTTTTAAAGCCCTGTCACTCACTGATCCGAATCAGCTCCCCGGTTTCCACGAACGAAACGGCCCCCGTAATGTCCAGAGAGCGCGAGAAGAGGGCCCCGGGGGTGGAGAAACGTTTCTAGAGCTCTGCACCGTCGCGCTCCCAGAGAATTTGCCCGATCGTGAACGCCGACGGAATCCCACGGCCATGAATCACGGGCAGATTTGCCGTGGTCGGCTCGATTAATTCGAGAAACGGTCATCCACCCGCCATTTCGATCGGTGAAGGGGGGAGAAGAAGAAGAGCAATAATCGGGCCCAACGATGTCGCTCGATTTTCATCGGAGGGGGTTGTACCCAGTGGGATGCATAAATAAGACGCGCTAAAGAAGCTGATTATTACCGTATTTCCGTGGCCATCCTCCCCCTCCGTGCATTCACGGCTGTTTACGATGACAAGAATTTTTCGAGGCGCAATTAAGAAATTACCGGGCCATATATCGTTCCGTTTTATGCCCCCGCTGCCCTGGACAATGTATTTGCCTTGGCTCTCCCTATACGGGGACTCGTGAGAGGTCCAGCTTAGCCGTGTTGCCATTGGGCGACGGGCCCCGACGGATAGACGCCAGGCGTCCCATGAGATACTCTCTCTTTCTCTCCTCCCTTCGGGGCCCTCTGGCTGCCGTTACAGAGAGATTCCATACCGGCGCAGTCACTACTAATTTCACCGTGTAGTTTTATTGTCAGTCGTGATCCGTGGCGCGCGTGACTGTTCCTTTTTCCCTTGTGGATCTCTTGTTTCTCGAAACCCACCGGGGTAGAGCCACCACACGACGATTCCGTTTTAACGGGCGGACTGTAAAACAGGAGGTACGCGTAAATCTATTAGCGAAGTGCATCTGTCGCTCTAGGTGCGTATATACACATACAGTTCTCGCGACGTTTGTAGCGACAACACACCGTTTAGCCGGAGCGATTCGCTCTCGCGTTCGATTTGCATTTGTATGGTTTCCTGGCTACGGAGATTGTATATACGTTACAGTCTCTGTGCTTTACAAGGTAGTTATACACGGTAGATAGCGGCTCACAGGAGGAAAATGGAGGCGACCGTATCCGTACCGTGATCTATGGCTCTATATTTTAATGATGCCCGTAATCAATATGATTCAGTATATACCCGGACCCAGACACTTCCTTCTATTTCTTTGGACCAGTAATAGTGTGTGTGTGTGTGTGTGTGTGTGTGTGTGTGTGTGTGTGTGTGTGTGTTCACAGGGGAGTGCGATTTTGTATCGCAGGTCGTTAATCGCTTCGAACGATGAAATCGCATATTTAAGCGCGCCGAGAGACTACGGATTGCGAATATTTCCGTTCACACGGATCCACGGCCGCGTCATTCAGCTACACTTTGTATCAAGGGCTACATATCACATGTGATTACGCAGCTGTATCTTCTTCGCGTCGTTGTATTATCTCCGTGGTTTCTTTTCTTCGTTGTCCCTCGAAATAGCTTTCGATAATTATTAGGTGTACAAATGAATTCGTGGCCTTCTTTTCGTAAATCTGTACACTTAATATACGTTTCTGCCAACACTTTTGTCAAAAAACATGTGATCAGAGATTCAAGATAAAGATTCTTTCTGTTTCCCGAGAGTGTAATGCATTTTATTGACAGAGTATCGAAGGCGGTACGGTGAGAAATCAATTAAAACTCATTTAGCCGCGTGTTGGTGAAGAACCCTCAAGTAACCCCTTTCTTAATAAATTGGCATTTTCAAAAGAAAAAGTAAAAACAAAAAAACTCTCCACGCACTGGTTGTCGCTTTGTTTCCAGGCATTCCCCGTTCACGCGCTCGTACACGCTCACGGTGCCCCTTTTATTGCCTCTACTCTACTCTTTGCCAACCCTCCCTCTTTCACCGTTCCACGTGACGCGACGGTACAAAAGCGATTCGACCAGGAATTCTTTGTTTTTATCGCAGACGCGACAAATATTTTGGCTCGCGCGAATTAACCGCGGCTGTGTTCCGTAACAAGCCCCCCAGAAGGAAATGTATTCCATCAATTCGCGCCTCGGTATGAGCAAAACAACTGAACAAAAAGTCTAATTGCACATTCGAATAGAGTAATACACAAGAATCGATGTAAATGTTTTTCATGGGAAAAATCATGTTGACCAGTGTAATCTAACGTTAACTAACTTTCTCTTGAAGTAGAAGTGAAAGAAACCACTTAATTCTTGATTCAAGTACAGTTTCACTAACTGAAAAGAAATTGAAATTCCGGTCCAGTTAGAGTTCGCAGGGGAGGTTTTGTAACGAAGGTTCCATCATTTGATACAGCGATTATCGGGGTTCGGAGGTCCCCTTTCAGATCGCGGGGCGGGACGATCGTTCGCGCGGGCGGGCGTGCGTTTGAAACTTTCCTGGGTGAGAAGAAACGTTCCTGTTAATCCGCAGATGCGACCCGCTGGAACGGCGTTAGCCATTAGGCATAAATTGATATGCATTATAAAGAGACGAGCAAGAGAGAGAGCTCCCCCTTCCCGTCGACCAAACGAGGATGAGACGACGAGGGCATGAAAAAAAAAAAAGGAAAAAGGATCCAGAAGAATAGCGTTGTAACACGTCCAGACGATCTCGTATGTGCGTGGCTGCAGGAGGAGCGTCGACGATTGGTCGGATTGACAATGGTTTTTCCCCCTGGGCTGGCGCGCCATTGGTCAGGATTTTCGGAGGGTTAGGAGACGCGTAGAATAAGGGGATGATACGGGATGAGTCGACACGGGGGTTGTTGTGGAATAAGCGTTAAGTAGGGGCGAGCGTGTCGAGGAAGAGACAGAGAGAATAAGGGTGGGGGACCGTGCGAGTAAATGGCTTCTCTTCTGGTGACGAAACTGAACCGTTGAAAACTTTCCTTCCTCTGTGTATTGTTTACACATGAAAATATTTGTAATTTACTGTACGCAGTGAACACAGTTTAGATCGGGGGTGGGGGTAAATTCTTCGACAATAAGGGCCATATATCCATAGCCTTCGAGGAGCCAGAGAAAATATCATTTTTAAATTGTATTTAGTTTACTGTACTGTAGATTATTAATATGAACGTTTAGAAAAAATGTCAATGAAACTGAATATTGTCTCGGAAATGTTATGAAGAAGGATTTAAGGCACAGTATGTGTATATCGTAGTGTATACAAACGAAACCCTAAATTTTATCATTGCAAGGAGAATGTGTCAATCTCAATATTCAAGATAATTACCGAATAAATGAAAACGATAGAATATATCAATTCGAAGTACAATGAAAGTGGACCATACACACAGGATGGTACAAAGAAACTCGATGAGCCAAGAGCTGGAAATGCCACGTATACGAAAAGAAAAAGGGGGGAACGTAGGAAAAGAGCGATAGAATCCGGAGTGACACAGGAAGCGAAAGAAATGGAGGGAGGGGGTTGGTGGACGGGGAAGAAAAACGAGGAAACGGTGCCAGGAAGCGCGAGGACGATATTTGCACGGCCACCGGCCAGGAAATCGACGACGATCGACAATGTGCCGTAAAGCTCCGGGGTCCGTTCCGGGAGAACATTGTAAGTCGCCCGGGTAACTAATGGCGGGCGGGCGGCCCCGTGAGATCGTAGTCGAGATGCATGATCGGATTTATGCGAGAGCACCGATATGAAATGCCCGATAGGACCATTATTGGCGATAAGCTTGTGACGCCGACGGAAACACGGTGAAGCCGGTACGGATCGAATTGTCGCGTTTTCCAACTCATCGCTCTAGTTCTTAATTGTTCTATCTCCACTAGTTTCTAAACTGAGAAAACAGTTCAAAGTTTATAATATCAAAGATATATAATATCACTTACTGAATGTAAGCTACTGTTTATTAAAATATTTAACAAAATATTATTTTATTATGAAGGTAAACTTTTAAGTATTGTTAATATTTGTCTCTCCCTAGGCTTTTATTAAAATTTTCCGCGAACTTTTTGACATTCCCACGGTATACAATCAACGGCAGTGAACGAAGAGAAAAGAAGAACACGATAATAATTCCTTTCGTTAAATATGAAAATTTGAAAGTTGAAACATTCGATTCGATCCGACAGTTCCATGAAGGATGGACAGACAGCGAATGATCGACACCGGACAGGAAAACACAGCATCAGCCGTGAGATTATCGTACCGACGACTTATCGAAATCTTCCTCTGTTGGGAAGATCGATCGTGCATACGGGGCTGGCTCGCACGACTCGATTCGATCGAGGGACCGCCGATTCGGAGATAAATCTCGTCGAAGAATCGCGCGCGCATTGCCCTTCTCGAGCGACCGACGGACAACGGGGGGATACACGCGCGCAATATTCTTCGCGCTTTCGGGTATGATCGATCGTCGAGTACCTTTAACGTCGTCACGCGTTATGTTTCGACACAC